GTATAGTCTCCATGTAACGCTACCTCTCAATGTACGGTATATTCTTGATTTTAGTTACATTATTCGCCGGTATCTCCTTTTTTCGGTATTTTGAAGATATTAGCGAATTTATTCAACGGAATTGTTTTAATTTCGTATTTGAAGATTCTAACGGCCACTATAGCCTATAACACTAAATTGCGTATACAGATCTTCGTCTTCGTATAGGCTCCATATATATTATATATTTTTAAGTTTTGAAGAGATTACTGTAATTATTGTATAGCCATGTTTAATTTTAGATCAACTTTAAACTTAAAAAAATAATGATACTCAACGTTTTTCCATTTAATAGGAATTTCACTAATCAAACACAAACAAAATGAATGAATGTCATCGAGTTTTCCTGTATTCAGGAGTACATATAATATGTATCTCTGAATCATGGTTCCAATATGAAATTGAAGATGGTACATTCAATATACATGGGCATATACTTTTTCGTGCATAAATGCATTTGCATTTATGTTATGAATGAAATAAAATGTATGGTTGAGCTGAAATCAAGTTCTACCAGCTCAAGCGAATATATATTTCTGGAAGTCATATTAAAAAGATATCGCAAAAATTATTGTTGGTAGTTTATATAGACTCATGGCTCAATAAGAAAGGTTGCTCAACTTCAAAGAAACCAGGAAAATGCAACTCTGTGCTGGAGTCTTATAGTGTCAAATAGACTTTTAAATATGCAGTAGTAGGCTTTGTTTGTGTTTATTTTTTTTTTAACAAAATTCTTATATTGGGAAAAATCCGCGAAACAAGAATGGAAGTTCAGCATTTATTTTACAACCTTATATTATTGTATTTTTTATTCAAAACAATACGCACACATAATGTGTATATGTTTTGACATAATAAGGACACCAAAAGAAAAAAATTGTATTTGGGGGTAGATTTGTTCTACCTTCTGTAATTGTGTCATGTATAGGCTAAACAATATATGCTGGTTATTTTATTCTCGTATAATCTATTATACCCGATCATTTTGTTATGCACATAATTTTTACAAACCGAATACATAAAGACATCTTACACAAGTTACCTGCTTAAATGTTCCTCATAAGGAACAATTTTATATCGAGAATTCAAGATGCTTAGTTATAACCCAGGTAGATTTAACAGGTAACCGCATTGGCGAATTGCTACAACAGAGCAACTTTTGTGGTACACTCAAATGTCAAAATTGGCATATAAGGCGAAAAACTTACATTCGCGATGACTTTTAAATTTTGCGGAAAATTTGTTTCAACCAATCTGAAAAGAGGTGTGGTGGTGTGTGGACTCTCGGGGACCACTGCAACAGCCCAAAGTTGATAGATAGCCCCGACATGTTTTTTCAAGTCCACAACTGTAATAAATTCTACGTCATCGACAAATACCACTAATATTCCAGCCAATGTTGGTTACACCGACTCCAGCACATGCCACAACAGTAGCAAGTGTTCCCGATCAAATGGTTTTAAAGAAAGAACATAGCATAGCTAGTAGCCATTTGGTGGATACGAGCTTCCTTTGGTTTCAGAGCTGATGCAAATTCCCCAAAAAGGGGTTAGCAGGGGCTAGTGGAAGTATGGATAAGACCAACTGAGTCATAGCTCTCGTGAAAAACTGGATCAGCAAATGATAATACCGACACATTTACCTTTATGTTTGAATCGCCCAATCATGAAAAAGTCTCCAACTATGAAATGGAACTGATGAATCTCTTTCATTCCCGAAACAGATTACCCCTGTGTTGTACGCATGCATTCAATGGAATTTGCACGCATCCGAGATTTGGCGCAATTCAGTGAGTCTATGGTTATCTGTTGTACCAAGGAAGGTGTAAAATTTTCGGCATTTAGCGATGTTTGTTCCGTAAATGTTAAATTGGCACAAAGTTCAAGTGTGAACAAAGATGATGAGGCAGTCATTATTGAAATGCAAGAGTCTATCCCCTAACTTTCGCCTGTCTTTACCTAATTACCTTCACCAAGGCCAGTCCTTTGTGTGGACAAATGTACCATTGTCGGCCGATGTACCATTGGTGGTTGAGTATCGTATACAAGATTTGGGTCATATACGTTATTATTTGGCGCCTCAAATTGAAGACGACGAAAGTTAAGCAGTTCAGGGGAGTGAAGTGTCCAAAAAATAATTAGTGTTATTAAAATATATTGACGAATATTTATTCATTTTTAAAAAAGTTTTTATTGTAAAACACTTTTTGAAAGCAGACATAAACAAACTTTGTTTTTATTATTTTGCAAATTTCGGGCGAATTCAGCATTGTAACAACTTCTTTTGGCATTTAAAGGTGCCGTCAGCTGCGGCGATGCTACTACCTAGTAGATCTACCTTGGTTATAACATAATAATACAGTCCATAACCATGGTGCAATAAGGAGGTAGAACAGCTTCGTAAAACTACAGAAATACAGCCCTGAGGCTATGTCTGCTGCCTGTCGGATTCATTGAAAATTATATACAACAAGTTGTTTTCTTTTTTCATATTTTTCCTCATTTCTAAAATGAGTTAAATGGCGCCAAAAATGGATGAAATGCCTGGATTTTCTCTCAAAAATGTGATCCAAACTATTCAATCTTTCGATTTCATGGCCAAACTGGTTAGTACCTTTAAAGCGCGAGCCGCAATGTGCGTGTCATCCAATCAATGGTTTTGAAAATATTTTGTTTTCATTTTTCAAAACAATAAATACATACACAAAATTGGCAGACAACGGGCACACTCAGAAACAAACGTTGTTTTTATAAAAACAACAATAAAGGGATAAAGCCTGACCATTTTGCAACAACAAAATACTACGGTATCCCGAACAAACAAGCCAACACTGTTCTATTAATAGACAAGGTACGGTCGACGAAGGGGTTTTTGTTGTAACAGACAAAACCAACTTACATGGTTATGCTATTTCGTTCAGGTTGAACGAAAGCATAACACATGGAGAAAGATGTAAATGTTTATAAGCGCGGTTGTAAAATTTAGAAGACTTTCCAAAGGAATTTTAGTTTTATTTAATTCTTTGGTTCCTCTTCTATTGAGCTTACGATCTCGTCACTTGGGTAAAAAATGTTTTTTGTCAGAAGTTATTTTTAAAATAACTTCTGGGGAGAATATCCCAGACAAAAAAACAAGGGAACTGATGAGGATTGGTGACTCTTTCCGAAACCTAGGTATTCCCTGCCTTACCCCCTGGTAAACATTACCATCGTTCTCCACTAATAAACGTTGTTTTTATAAAAACAACAATAAAGGGATAAAGCCTGACCATTTGCAACAACAAAATACTACGGTATCCCGAACAAACAAGCCAACACTGTTCTGATAACATTTTCTTATAAAACATTTTTCTTATCTCTCTTAGATTTAAACAATGGTACAATTAAAAGAAAATCTCAACCAACCATACGATTATAATTATTTTTATTTGATGTCATTTCACTGTCAAATTTATATTTTGTAGTCCTTCCATAAATATGGGCGTGCAGCAGGCAATAATTTTTCATTATTTCAGACCAAATATTTTGCTATTTCCACGTCTTTTAGAGGGTATAAAATTCAGGTAAGAATAAAATCTAAAACAGAAAACTAAAATATTAGTCTTATAAGTCATGCTAGACTTAATTATGGAAACGTTGAATTTGGTTTCGCTTATGACAAGTATATAGGCATAGCATGTCTTGTATTCTACAATTTTGGTAAAAGATTTTCATCTCACAATTTTAGTCGAACTAGTATTGAATTCGTTATCAGAAATAGTAGTAGTACAGAATCCATATAGCAGGTATTGTGAAGATTTTGGTAACATTTTTCAGCTAGTCTTAAAGTAAAACCTCATCGTCGAAAAAGTTCCTTAAGAAGAAGAGTTTGAAATTTTTATATGTTTAGTCCAAGAACAGATATATAAACTTGGTATTCCTAAGCTATGGAACGTAAAACTGTTTTATGTGCCATGAAACGCCGCAAATAAAAGATTATTAATTTTTTTGTAAAATCTGCTACTCTTCATGCGACAACATTTTGGATATAAATTTTGATTTTATTTGAAAACCAAGTATAAAAAACATTAAGTTCGGCCGAGTCGAACTTTTAATACCCTCCAACTTAGGGTAAATGAAACAGTATAAACCATTATGACCCACAAATACCACTTTTTAGACAAATCCGCAAATAAATGTGGCAAAAATCATGAAAATACAGAATATCGGGAGGTACCGTTATATGGGAGCTATATCAAAACATGGACATGGCCAACGGAGCTAAAACCCATTATGACCAACAAATACCAATTTTCAGACAAATCCGTAAAAAATGTGACAAAAATCTTTAAAATACCAAATATCGGGAGGTATCGTTATATGGGACTATACCAAAACGCGACCGATATATCCCATTTTCAATACCAATCGTGCTAGACAAAATTCAAATTGTTCTGCTAAATTTTTACGATTTACGTCAAATAATGTGGGTTGTATCGTGATTTCAACAGACAGACAGACGGACAAGGCGGACATCAAATCGACTTAGAATTTTATGCTGATTATGAATATATACTTTATGGGACCTACGACGAATATTTAGAGATGTTATGAATGACAAAGTTAATATACCTTCCTTTCCAAGGTGGAGGTTATAATGACAAGGTCGAGTCCTTCAGAAAGGGGTTTTCATATTCAATGTAGCAAATGAGTTAACCTCTATTGTCTTGCCATGGATTGAAACCATGGTAGAAGAATACAGGTAGGCCAATCGACACTGTCAAACCAATTTTGGAATTGAAAATTTTGAATGAAAAAATTATTTAACCTTTTTAAACACTATTGAAAAACGCATATTATAATAACCTCCTAAAAAAGAATCAACATTTTCACATATCAATGTTCTCAAACGGTGATGCATGTACCTGAATTCTTCTACCATGATTTATACCAAAATATAAATTTGACAATAGGTGTGTCTGGTTACTTTTCCATCAGGAATTGTCCAGCAACTTCTTTCTGAGAGAGTAAGGTAGTTTTATTCTCTTTTGCAAGGAAAATGCGAAAAGTAAACAGACGGTATTCCTGCAGAAGTTTGCAACTAATCAGCTGATTTGTCAAAACAAACCAATTTGTCCCCATAAGGAGAATTAAAACAAAGGAAGCAATACTAATTTTACAAGTTTTTTAAATAAAAATGTTGGAAATAGTCTTTTATTTTCTTATTACATATTAATATTTACTTTTTTTCACATTCTTTTACGTTGTTCTCAAATTGAAACTAAACAAGCAATAGAAAACATCTGATTGAATGTCGATGAATGAGAAGAAGAAGAGTTGCAAGTGATTGCAAGAAGAAATTTGTCCAGCAAGAATTTGCAAACTCTCACTGAAAGAACTGTCAAAATTTCTCTCTCCAACCGCTCTCTTTTGCAGAACTTTCGGGTTAACAGACGACTTCCAGTAACAATTTGTAACAATTGTTACAAATTTTAGAGTAACCAGACACACCTAATAAAGGGACATCAAATAAAAAAATGTAATCATACAGTTGCATAACATTATATTGGTAATTGTAACATGCTCATAACATATTACAGTCATCATTTGCAATCGCATTGTAAAGACGTACACAATGCACGCTCCTCCAAAAATTATTTGGTCGAAGTGTTTAAAAAAATCTTGTGCAAATTTTGTGCATGACACTTTTTTAAACCAAATTAAAAAACGTGTTAAATTTTTTAATCAAAACATCTATACTGCATTTAATAGCGATGACTGCTTCTCGATATAAAGAAGAAAGAAAGAAAGATAGATATATATATATATTGTATAAGTTCGATAAGTTCCACCACAACTTTCCAATTCCCGTCAATCACGGTTGATAATTGGCACACTGACATCTCCTCTACAACTCCCTTGGAGACCGTAGTGAGCGGATCGCCGCTGGACATTGGTTGTTGTCGGTTTGCTCTAATTGGAAGTTATTGTAGTTGTAATAAAAAAAGACGTGGGATCCTCAGCAATCACTTAGAACCACTGCATTCACCTGTCTTGTAGAAACGAAAGCGAAAGCACACGGCCGCTGTCGCCACCTCAATTACTAAAGGTAATTTGTCGCATTAAAAAATAGTATAAATAAATCATGAATTATATTAAGTAATAATACTAATTTATCTTTGTTTTATTTCTCGTAATTTTCTTTCTTTGCACAACAACACACGCGTATCACCCGCACCTCACTTCAACTCTCTCCTACACATCATCTCAAATAATAACTCTTGGGAATTATCGTTAAAGGATGTCAAGAAAGAGACAGAAAATTTAATTCTGCAAAAAGAATGAGACAAATGAGGAGAATGTCCAGGAACGTGAATTGGTGCAGCAAAATGAGACAGTACTTGAACAATTAGTAAGTATGGAAAATTGGGTTTTTGATTGCTTAATTCACTACTTTAAAAATATTAATACTTATATAATTTTTTGATTATCATTTTCGAGGAAGAGTTTATTGCAAAAATCGGTGGTGGAGGACTCCCACAACTGCTACGGTCTGTAAAGCTGAGTGCAGAAAACTGCTATTTAGTGACAGCAATCAAAAGTAAGCTTGTCTTTTTAACACGTTTATGAAGAACTAGTAAAAAGGACAGACCTGTACATATTTTATTTCAGATATTTGTCATTTCAAATACACTAGCCACGACAAGGATGTAAACACAACCTTTCAAAAACATTTTATTCACGTATTGATGTAGGTAAAATAACCGAGTACACTTCCAGATTTTTTTGATTTTACATTTTTTTTTTTTATTTTTTTACCATAACTTTTCTATTTTGTATACAAAAAATGACATTCATTGATGTAAAGAATGTTGTTTATATTACACATGAAAATAAACATGGAAAATACTAGTACAAATTGTAATTATAAAAGCAGAATTATATTTATTTTAAATTAACTTTTATATAAACTCCCAACTCCCGTAAATCACGGATGCTGATTGGCACACTGGCATCTCATCTACAACTCCCTTGGAGACCATAGTGAGCGGGTCCCCGCTGGGCATTGGTTGCTGTCGGGTTGCTCTAAGTGGAAGCAATTGTAGTTGTAATAAAAAGAGACAATTGATCACATAGAACCTCTGCGTTCACTTGTCTGTATTTGTATATGTATTGTACATAGACATGGAATCCTCAGCGATCACTTAGAACCACTGCATTCACCTGTCTTGTAGAAACGAAAGCGAAAGCACACGGCCCCTGTCGCCAGCAAAATTACTAAAAGTAATTTGTCGCATTGAAAAGAAGCATAAATAAAGCATGAATTATATTAGGAAATAATAATAATTTATCTTTGTTTTATTTCTCGTAATTTTCTTTCTTTGCACTCCGCACACTCGTATCACCCGCACCTCACCTCAAGTCTCAACTATATATCATCTCAAATAATAACTCTGGGGAGTTATCGTTATTGTTGCTACCTCTATCGAAGCCATTCTCCCACTCCCCTGAGTTAAACATTGGCCGTATCGAGCCATCATTTGATGTCGTGGATGAAGAAATTACTGGATTACTCTCATCATCACCACCTTTTTTGACTAAGAAACAGGTACGTAAATTCAGATTTCTATTTGAAGTGAGCTACTCGCTTTTCGTTGTGCATATTAATTTGTTTAGTTTTGGTCGAATCGCAGTGCATCTATCTGTCGTATGGTTACTTTGTCGTTGTCACCAACGCACATTCATTGTTATTGCAATTCTTCCTCATTTGTCTCCAAACGTCGATCATTCTCACTTGAGAATTTGCATTGCCGAAAATTGCAACAAAAATACTTCATCATTCCACGCGCCTTTTTAGCGTCAGTTTGATATACAGTAAAAGTAATAACAAATCGTTTTGATCTCCAACTCTCACTGTTGGATCGTTTGTGTCGTTGAGGATAAATACAATAATGCATTTATTGCATACCATTGGTATTTGACCACTATAAACAAGCACCTTATCGCCTCAAAAATTCCAAATAATGATAATAGCTCTCCTGCTGTAACTTTTCAGTCCTCTCCTTGTGAAAATTGTATTACTGCAATTAATAATACTAATGTTACACCACCTTCAGACTTGCTTTTGAGCGAACCTAACTTGTCGGTTCCTGTCCAATTCACCCTTCGATAATCAGTGTTTCATGTTGCCACCTATTGATATCGAAGTCTTTACAGGTGATTTTGTATCTTGGCCAACTTTTCGAGACCTATTCACCACCCGGTTCGTCAGTAATTCAGACCTTTCAAACATAGAACGTCTCTGCCATCTTAGACAGAAGACTACCGGTGAGACTCGCGAAATTGTTAGCAGATTTTCACTCACAAATTGCAGTTTCCCCTTAGCGTGGAAAGCTTTATGGGATGCGTATGATAATAAGTGTATCGTGGTGAATAGTCACATATAAAGTTTGTTTGATATTCCAGTTTTAAAGTTTGAAACTTGTTCGGGATTGAAAACTATCCGACGTGGAGTAAATAGTTATCTTGCTGCAATGGCCATCTATGACATCGCCAAGTATCAGTGGGAACCAATTCTTGTGCATATTTGTGTGCAGCGCTTGCCTTTAACCACCTTTGTGGGAGCACAGCATCAAAAATAAGTTATTGTTGTCTTCTTGGTCAGACTTAGAAACTTTCCTGACCGAAGGAATACAAACTTTGCAATGTATTAAACATATGCGTAGAAAATTGTCCACAAACATTGTTTCTCCTAGTTATTTGCCTAACTCGTTATCATCACATAGTGTTTCATCTCATTGCTCCTCCGCTAGATCGTTGACATCTAAGCATGTTCCTACATCTAGTTCCACCATTAAAAAGTCGTTAATACATGTGCCAAAATCTGTTCCGTCATCTCAGTCTACTAATTTTCTGTCAAGTTTATAAAACTTTCATTTGATGTCAAATTTGTGATTGTTAAAAGGATAAGCATTGCATAAATTGTTATTGTTTTCTTGTGGCCACACTGTTAAAAATTGTCATAGTGCAAATAGTTGCAAATCGTCCAAACAAAGGCATGACAGCATTCTTCACCGACCACAAATTACTAGTCTTTTGGAATACCTTGTTCAAAACAATCTCCGGTATCTACAATTTTTAAGAATCTTGAATCTGGCTTGGCTTCACAAACACACATTATTTTACGAAGGTCCAAAGTCGAGCACCTAAGCCTTCTAAAACGCACCCATTCTCTGCAAAAAATATTTCCAGTCGGTCTCCCAAAACAATTGAAGATATTGTGCTTTTGGGAACTGCAATAGTCAACATCGTTCATAATGGCAAATCGTACACTGCTCGAGCAATTGTAGATCCTTCTTCTACGGTATCAAAAAAATTAAAAATAAACTTGGTATTTTAACGCGCTCTGAGACTACTTTCTCTAAAGCTGTTGTACCAAGAGAAATCTGTTCTCTAAAGTTCATCTAGAATTTTTAAAACTAAACCTTTAGTCTTACCTAAAATCAAGGGGGAGTTGTTCTCGTCTCCACCTTTTTGTATTTTAAAGACTCGAATTCCTTTATTCAGCGGATTCTCGATAATATCCCAATAGATTTGCTGCTTGGCGCTGGCTTGTATCTTATATTCTAGAAGCTGAACCTCCAAAAATTGTGTTGGATACTTTGCTGGCCCAAAAGTCTATTTTCGGGTACATTCTCACCGGTTCAGTACCTCCCTCAACTGTAACATAATCTCGATCCAAACATTGAAATCGACCAAATTAGCAAAGAATCGTATCACAAAAGAAATTTGCTGAAAACATTAATTGCGCTAAACATTGAAATTGTAGACCGAATCTATCGGTAATTCGTCAAATCGCTATGATAAAAATTCGAAAATCTGCAACTATAGCTCACTTTGGAATCTGAATTTACATTATCTTCTAATTTCTGTTAACATAATATAGATTGCTAGACTCGTAGTTCTAGCAAGGGGCCGGAATGTATAAGTTCCACCACAACTTTCCAATTTCCGTCAATCACGGATACTGATTGGCACACTGACATCTCCTCTACAACTCCCTTGGCGGAGACCGTAGTGAGTGGATTGCCGCTGGGTATTGGTTGTTGTCGGTTTGCTCTAATTGGAAGTAAATGTAGTTGTAATAAAAGAGACAAGGGATCACATAGAACCTCTGCGTTCACTTGTCTGTATTTGTATATGTATTGTACATAGACATGGGGTCCTCAGCGATCACTTAGAACCACTGCATTCACCTGTCTTGTAGAATCGAAAGCAAAAGCACACGGCCTCTGTCGCCACCCAAATTACTAAAAGTAATTTGTCGCATAAAAAAGGAGAATAAATAAAGCATGAATTATATTAAGAAATAATACTCATTTATCTTTGTTTTATTTCTTGTAATTTTCTTTCTTTGCACACCACACACGCGTATCACCCGCACCTCACCTAAACCTTCACCTACACATCATCTCAAATAATAACTGTGGGGAGTTATCGTTGTTGTTGCTACCGCTTTCGAAGCCATTGCGCCACTCCCCCTGAGCTAAAAAGACATTGTGATTATTGAATTTAAAATACAGAAGAATAGTTCTTAAAATTATGCCTTCATATCATTCCCCTGAATGTAAAGCTAGCCATTGTAGACGAATACAGGTAGATGCATTAACGCTTCCAAACTAGCATTTGGAAGTTTGTTTTTGAAAAAAATCACTTTGGTGAATCTTCTTCGAGTCATTTTGGTGATCAAAAAATCAATTTAATTTACAACAACAAAATGTAGGCCAATTGCAAATCATTGAGATCTGCAAAATGTGGCTATATTTCCGTTATTTATTATCGTATTGCGATAATCTAAAGATTGAAAAATGATTAGTCTTAAAACGATCATGGAGCTGTTTGAAAAGTGATCATAATTATGTATTTTTTGATATTTTTAATTGTAAATTCTCTTAAGTATATACATTTTTCCATGTTACGCAGTACAATGGTTGATCTTTTTTTTTTTGTTCAAAAAGATTACTGAAAAACAAGATGAAGTCGAAAGTAATAAACACTTCAAAGCTGAACTGTTTCTATAACAGTATGTCCGGTATACGTTCCAAAGCTGATATTATGGTCTTTACGGAAACATTGTACAATGAAGAGAAGGTAGACTACACAACAACAAGTTGTTTATTATCACAAAAAATGATACCATTTGTGGCATTGATTTTAAATACATAAAAAAACGCGAAAAATTTACAGCCTGTTCCACGATATCGAAAGAACACGTTCGCACTACTTTTACACGACAAATAGCTGATTTCCGTTCCGCTAAAATCCATCAGAACGAAAATTTGCACGAAAATCAAAGCGTACGAAAACGTAAGCGTTTCAGTGAAATTTTGCGTTCCACTATCTTTTTTCTTTCGTACGCATGCGAACACAAATGTCAAAATCAGTCACTTGTGTGTTTGCTGTCGTATGATAACAATTAAGGAAAATTGTTTTAACATAAACATTGCTTGCTTGAAAATGGAAACAAAAATGTAAGTTAAAATAATAAATGCAATTTAATATGTGAACAACAAATATATATTTTTTTTTATTTTCTCAATTCCAGCACGAAAAAATAACTACACAGCTGCGGGCACTAGTTGTGTATATGGAGGAGAATCCTGAGTTCGCCAGAAGAGTGCAAATTTTTGAAAGCAGCAGGCAATGCCTGAAAGACCACTGGAAGAAATTAGTTTTTAAATTAAATACCATACATTGTTCTTTCATAGAAAGCCTACATTGTGTTGTGTTCCTCTGTGAGTGTCGGCTTTTTTATCCATTGGCCACAAATGTGGTCCTCAATGGTTCTGCTCACTGTCGACTTCGCTGTTGAAGTCAAGGCTTCGTTCCCTAAATTCTGTTGGTAGCTTCCTTTCGCCAAAAACCGCAAGAATGAGCCAAGTTTTAAATCGGGGCGGATTTGGGTAGTTCTACAACCGTGCACCCACTTCTCTTCCATCATATCCAAAAGAGCCCGAAAAACTTCCTTCGACACACGAAAATTGGCCACAAACCTAGAAAAATTCATTTTTTATTATTTCAAAATGTAAAAATACAATCATACTTACTGGTTGTTAGGTACTTCAAATAAATTCGAAGCATCTCTTAAATGCCTCCGTGGCACATTTTGAACCTCCTCCACATCATTCATAACAAATAGGACTACAGAAATATTAATTTTTTTATTTTTTAAGAACACAAATAGTTTGAACACAATCTTTATTCTGTTTGTTTATTTACAATTTGTTTGTTTACAACTGAACTGTCAGTTGAGACAGAGCCACTGCTGCTTTTTCGCGTTTAAATTAGACATTTGGCGATTTTTTTTGCCTTATTTCGCGATTAATTTTTCCAAAAAATATTTAGCAACACTGAATCACGTAAGGCTATGCGAAAGAAAGAACGAAAGTTAGTGGAACGCATTCTTATACGAAAGTTAGTGAGTAGCCTTCGTTCGCACAAATTTTCTTTCGAGATCGTGGAACAGGCTGTTATAATATATATATATATATATATATATATATATATATATATATATATATATATATATATATATATATATATATATAATCGATTGCTTGTGCCCTACCTTGATTTCATTGTACCATTGTTAAATGGTGATGTGTAATTAACTAACATTTAACAATAACAAAATTATTGTTAAAGGAACTATAAATTCATTCTGACAATTAATTCGTCGAGAGCAAACACAAATATGTAATAACAATATATTTCGTTAAATAAAGTAACAAAAAACAGAGATTCTGAAAAGATTTTTGTTAATCATTAATCGCTATTATACATATAAAATGTCTTCCTGGGAAACTACAATTGCAATATCTGTCCTGGCGTCATGTCCTGGTTTGAGGGATTTTGTTTGGCGCTCAACCACAATTTTTGAGAGTTATGTTGGAGGGAGTCTTAAACGCACCTCAAAAAATTTAATGCATAAAACAATCTGGAACTTCAATTTATTTAGGCTGTGTATGTGTCAGAGTGTTGCATTCCTAAATTATAGGCGATATTTATGCTTTAAATATTTTTTGCGAAAAGAAGGCTTCAGAAAAACATTTTCAGATGTATATCTATTGCTTAGAATATCCCTCACATAAAAACTTTTTCCGATATTCGATATTTTGAAGCTTTCGAACAAACTTTATTCTCAGACGACTTGGGAACTATAGTTTTTGAATAGCGATTTCATTGGGGGTTGCGATATTAAGGGATCTAGCTCTAATGAAATAATATGCAACAATTATTGTATATTTTCTAACTAATTGTGATTCATTTAATTTAAAATTTCCTCACGGGTCCTTTTTTACCCCTTCTTTACATTTTGTCCACTACTCATTTATACGTCCTTGTTTATTTCGTAGATTTTGTTTCCATTTCCTTTGCATTGTATTGTGTTTTCGCGCATTTCTTCTATTTGTTCGTGTTTTTTTTTTTTTTTTTTTGATCTATTGATATTTTGGTGTTTTGTTTTTCATTTATTTCATCTTCTTTCTTCAAAACCCCAAAATCATCACAACAACAATTACCATATACAAGAGTAATTGTCATCTCTGCTGATTGTTGCCACCTTGTGACATATTTGACACTTACGAATAAAGCTGCCCTCAGACACACCAACAGTTGGCCCAACTTGTCACTTTTAAGTTGTATGAAAAAGTTGGTCGGTCTCCTCGCACGTACCAACTTTTCATACAACTGTTGTACCAACTTTTCATTTACAAAGTATTTTTGAAGCGTCAACATGAACTCGGATGCTTCTTGCGCTCAGCATTTGTATGTGCTGCTTCACCAAAGTCAAGACATATATGAAAAAAACACTGAAGTTGGTACAACTTGCCCTCACACGCACCAACAGTTGGCCCAACTTACGAAATTATCAAAAATTTTTGATATTTCCAACCAACTTTCGAAAAAGTTGTAAAACTAGCACTCAGACGCACCAATAGTTGTACCAACTTGTCACAAGTTGGGCCAACTGTTGGTGTGTCTGAGGGCAGCTTAAGTAACATATGATCACATTTATTAGGGGTGTTCACACTACCTAATATTATCCAACAAATTGATAAAAACATTTTTATGCCATTTCCGGATATTTCTTGTATTTATTCCTTCGGATATCAACTAAAATTAAATTTAAATTAAACACTGTGCACCCTATATCCGGTCTTATTTATTAAAATATTATTATTTTTATATAAATATAATATAACATATTATATATTTAATAAAAAATATTTAATTTTTTATAAAACATTTTTGATTTCATTTTTTTGTTGTTGTCCGCTACTGATTGAAAACGTACATCTTACAGTCCGTGCACCCTACAGTCGTTTTTTAGACATTTTTAATATTTTTTCGAATTTATGATTTTTATTAAAAATTTTTGATATTTTTTCGTTGGCAATTGTTATCATCGATACTTTGCCATAGTTTGCAGGTATTCTACGATACATTGTACATATTTTACGAAATTTGGAAGACACTGAGGGAAATTTTTAGTTAATATTTATTTTTTTCTTCAAATTTCTATGTATTTGTGGTTTAATCACGTTAAACTTCAATATTTTAACCGTATCTACGATACGTTATTACGATTAGTCAACGACTTATTATAAAATCAGTGTATTTCTAATAAACCACATTAATTTTCTTGAAGCATCGCGTGCTTTAAAGTACATTTTATTAACATTTTTGTAAAAAATGTTAACGTTTTTAATTTTCACACAAATTATTCGACATTACGTGCCAATTTCTAGAAATTAAAGCAAGGTCAGAACGTTATGGGAAAAGGTGAAAACCGTTTTTGACAAGTGTCTTAATTATTTTGCAGAAGAAGACAGTTCAGGTGAGGAAATCACTGCCGCTGACACAAAATACGATGTTGCATTTAGATGTTATCTAAAATTATTAGCTTTCATAAACAGGAAGTTAGATGAACTTCGGACTCCGCCTAAGTCATCAATGGCGACATCGTCTCCTCAGGCTAGCGTAGGTAATAGGACTATATCTCGTTCCGAGATTAACACAGTCAATCAGCCTACTCCTCGATCGCCTCATTCGCCAATATCTTATAACTCATCACTCACATCCTGTGGTGGTGATAATTCTGGTCATAGGTTGAATATACCGCCTTGTGACAGAGAAATATTTAATGGCCGCTTTCTGTCTTGGCCTATATTCAGAGACTTATTCTCGGCAGTGTATATTAACAATACTGGCAATAGTGACATTGAACATATATGTTATTTAAACAATAAGAGCAGTGGCGACGCCCATGACTAAGCTTTCACTTACCCACAAAAACTTTGGTCTTGCGTGGAAAGTTCTAAAACAAACGTATGACGATCCACGTATTTTGGTGAACCACCAACTTAAACTTTTATTTGACCTGCCAGTATTAGACAGTGAGACTAGTTTAGGTTTAAAGAAGTTACAAAGGGGCATAAATGGGTGTATTCCGGCCATGTTAAATTATGACGTGTCAACTGAAGGCTGGGACCTTATTCTAGTGTTCATATGTCTTCAAAGTCTCCCCAAAAATAGCGTCACACTTTGGGAATAGTGTATCAAAAATAAATCTGCTTTGTCTTTCTGGGAAGATTTGGATAAGTTTCTTACAGAACGCATCCAAACTCTTACCTGTCTTCGTGACATTAGAGGAATTGACAACGTCAAATCTCAAATTATTATAAAAATTCACATTTCACGAATGCTGCACAAACCGATCCTCTACTTTTACGCCTCGTAATTCACCTTCGTCATCTAGGCCATCCCGAGCACCCTCCTATAACACATGCATTCTATGTCCACGACAAATTTGTTTGTCCAATCAGCCCTCCACTTCTTCAGGTCTAACTTCCAGCTCTTCTAACAGACAGGTATTTCATACCGCTCAAAGTCGAAATGTTCCATTAGGCACGGCAATGGTGAACATCGCTCACCACGTATCCTGCCAGAGCATTAATTGACCCTGCTTCAGAAGCTTCTATTATTACAGATCGCTTACAGCACATTCTAGGCATCGCCTACTCTACAATTGTGGCTACCATTTCTGGTATTAATCAGACAGTTTCGACTACGTCGCGCAAGTTGTGTTCTTCGACTTCGTTTCTCGTTTGCCAAATGTACGTTTGGCTGATCCAAATTTGTTCAACAGTCGCCCTGTTGACCTCTGTCTGGGAGCAGATCTTTATTCGAAGATTCTACTACAGGGAATTCACACTAATATCTTAGGTTCCCTAATAGCACAAAATACGGTCTTTGTTTGTATCATTACTGGTTCAATTCCCCCTCAACATCTATCTGACTTTTCCGTTAAATTCAGTATATCTGACGAAGAGAACCTTAAAAAGGTCCTTCCTCGTTTTTGGGGACTGGAGGAATTTCCTAAACGTCCAATTTTGTCGCCCTCCGACCAGTTTTGTGAGTCAAATTATAAACGTACCACACGTCGGGATTCAGAGGGCAGGTACGTGGTCAGCCTTCCCCTCAAGACAGAGTTAGTTGGACAGGCAGACTTAGGATTTTCCCGAAATATTTGTTTACGACAATATCTTCGGAATGAGGCATCTCTTCTTCGAAAGCCACGAATCAAGACAGTCTACGACCAAGTGGTCAATGAGTATTTAGATTTGGACCATATGAGGCCAGTAGTTGCCGCGTCAACAAACTCTACGGTTTGTTACCTCCCCACCATCCAGTAATAAATCCCAACAAGAAGACTACCAAGCTTCGAGTGGTTTTCAACGCGTCGAATAAAACTTCCAACGGAAAAAGTCTTAATGATATTTTACATGTGGGTCCCACTCTGCAATTAGACTTGGTATTCCTTATCCTTAGGGGGATATTTTTGAAATTTGTACATAACTGCGACAGAGGTATCGCCAAATTCGTGTCGATCCGGCACATACTCCACTATAGAGATTTTTTTCCGGGATTCTCCTCAGACACCTGTTCAGGATTTTGAGTTGAAGACGGTAACATTCGGCGTAAACTGTGCTCCCTATTTAGCCATACGGACGATTTTACAGTTAGCTGACGACACTGACGACGAATATCCTCTCGCTGCACACATACTACGAAGGTGCATGTACGTCGACGTCATGCTAACGGGATATCATGACTTGCGTACAGCTTTAAATTCTCGCGATCAATTAAGATCTGCTCTAAATTTGAGTTGAGGAAGCGGACAGCAAATGACCGTGCTATTTTGCAAAATATTCCTACGGAAGATTTAAAAGACGCCAAAGTTCTTTCCTTTGTGGAAGCTAGCAGTTCCAAGTCGTTAAGTATACGTTGGAATGCTCAGCTTGATTTGTTTTACTTTAGTCTGAATGCTCTCGCCACAAAAGCCCACTACATAAAACGAGAAACTTTGTCCACTATTGCCAAACTGTTCGATCCTTTAGGTTGGTTAGGCCCCTTAATTGTGACAGCTAAAATAGCTATGCAGAAAATCTGGACAGATAA